GCTTCCTAGATTGCTTTGAGATATTAACTAGTTATCCCCCTAATTTCCTGATTTTTCTTCTCATTTTTATTTCTCTGGATGTGTGGGACTTTAAAAGTACTCTTCTAAAGCATTAGTTAAGACATCTTCTCAATTATTGACCACTGTGAGTTGTTTTTTCTTGCCTCTAGCCCTTTCCATAGCTGTAAGAGCTCCAGTTGTTTGGGGCATAGGTTTCATTCCTATTTATTCCCCATGCCATTTTCTTTTCCCCATGACTCTTCATTGATGTAACTTACTCTTTTTTGATTTTCCATTTGACTTTTTAGCCCTAATTACCTCTTCTGCTACTGATTTTCTTAATCCATAGATACTTGCCTGTATCCATAGAGGCTGAAAAGAAACATTCACAAAGAAAAAAAAATAGATCCTTCTTTAGCAGAGCATTTTTCTTTTCAAAAGAACTATAATCTATATACTTAAATTTTATAGCCCCTTATTATGTAGTTCACTTTTATACTTTTTCATTGGGGTTTCAGAAAAAGAAAAAAAATCTAACAAAAAATCTACTTCCATACCTTTTTTTTTTTTGGTTGTTCAGCCAGAGAAAGCTTGTGTTACTGGTTTCAAGGGATGTTATTATGGGACAAATCTTATTCCAGAGCCTGAGGTGACTCCTGGACTATTTCCTCAGCAGTTCCTATCTCCTCGCTGGCTGCTTGCTCCACGGGACTTTAGTGATGTACAAGTTGGGATGTTTGCAGAAACTGAAGGATGAGGGTCCACAGAAGCAGTAGAATTTGGAAAGCAGTAGCTTATGGGCACATTAGGGAAGGGACTTAGATGGCAAAAGGGCTCTTATGTATTTCATCTACTTGATGTGACCAGGAAGAAGGACCATAGCCCAGTGTTCACACTTCATTAGATCCTCACCACTTTCTTTTTCAAGTGAATGAACAAAGGAAGAAAGAGAAAATACCTTCTGCTGCCTCCTTCCCTAAATAGCCTTGCTGATGATTTAGACAAAGAGAAAAGAGAAAGGCAAGGTAGAGCAGATGAGGTTCATGAAAATTTGAAGGACTGGAGACACAATATGTTCGTCCTTTCAGCATAATCTCTAAAATGAGATTAGGTTTCTTTCATTGGTTCTAATTCTTCTTTACAACATGACTAATGTGAAAATAGGTTTAATATGAATGTATATATTGAGCCTATATTGATTTACATGCCATGTTGGGGAAGGCGGAGGGGAGAGATGGGGAGAAAATTTGGAACTCAAAATCTTATGGAAGTGAATGTTGAAAGCTAAAAATAAATAATTTTTTTGGTGAGGCATTTGGGGTTAAGCGACTTGCCCAGACTCACACAGCTAGTGAGTATTATGTGTCTGAGGCCGTATTTGAACTCAGGTCCTCCTGACTCCAGGGCCAGTGCTCTATCCATGGTGCCACCTAGCTGCCCCCCAAATAAATTTATTTTAAAAATAAAATAAAATGAGGTTGAAATAGATCTTCTCTAAGAACCCTTTAACATTCTTTTATGAATGATCTTATCACTCTTCCTTTCATGAGGTTCTCATGTGTTTAAATTCTACTATGAAGATGAGCAAATTCATTCACTTTAGCTTCTATCCTAATATAAGTCACATTCCAGAACTTCATGATTTTCATTTTTATACATTTCACTAAGAGGTTGCTATGATACTTTTCTTCACAGCAGTTCTCAGCTCCTAATATCTAACTGATTCTTTTGTAAAACTTCTGTTATTTTGGATGAAAAGCCAGTGTGGTAAAGTAGAAAAAACATTGGATCTGACATCAGAGAATCTGGGTTCAAATCTTGGCTCTGACACCATCTGTGTGACTTTGGGCAACTTCCCTAGACTTTTTTATTTCCTGATATGAAAAAAATGAGGAAGTTGGCCTAGATCTCTGAAGTCCCTTACAATTTTGAATCTATGGTCCAATCTATGACAATTCCCTGAACCATTAATGAAATATAGAAAAACAGCTTAACCTCTGTTAGTAGTTTTATTGCCCTCTGTTAAACAAGAATAAAACCTTATAAATCATCTTGTCCAACTCCCTAATTTTGTGTACAAGAAAGCTACAACCCAGAGAAGGGAAATGAGTTGTCCAAGGTCACACTGGTGGTAAATATTAGAGCCAGTATTTAAATATAGGGCTCCTGACTTCAAACTAAGACTTCTTTCCATTCCACCATCTTGCCTCATCAGAAGAGAAGGGAAACTGAGCATTTCCAAATGAAACCACACTAGTGAGACTCAATTCCTGGTGGAATAAAAGGAAACAGATGCCTCCAAATTAAGTCACAGTGGCTTCCAACTTCCAAAGTGTTGTTAGAACAGAAAAACTTCTAGCGGGTTTTGAAAACGAGAAGTCTAATGGGCAACACCGGCATATGAGTGTAACCTAACAAGAAAAATATTCTTTTTCAAGCAACATTCACCATTTCTGCTTTGGTTCCTCATCTATGGTTTAATTTCACTAAACTTTGACTTTCTGTTCTGATCTGAATTACAATGAGATTATTAAATCAGATCTGCTATTACCTTTGCATATTTTGGTGACTTTGAACATTTAGACTGAGTCACTGCATATTTTTTAAAAATTAACTCAAACCTATGACTGTTCCTTTGATTTTCTCCCATACTTTCTGGCTAATGAACTTTGTTTTTATTTTGGTATACTATAAAATGTAGGGTATTTTTAAAATATTCAATATTTAAAATATTTCTATGACTTATGATATTTATAAATATGTATGTATACTTTTTCACCCATTATTCTGTCTCTTATTTTTCAATGCTCTTTCATGACAAAGGCTGCAAAAGCAAGATGCAGAAATGGAAATAATCCTAACTCTGGAATCAATTCAATTCAAAAAATATTTATTAAGCACCTGCTATGTGCCAGGCACTATGCAGAGTTTCAAATCCTAACTTGACTTTTCCATTTAATAGCTTAGTGACCATGGGCAAGTCACTTAACTTCTCTGAACTCTCATGCTCTTGTCTATTAAATGGGATAATAAATCACTACTTATTTCACAGGGCAGTGGAGAAGAAAGTAATATATAAATATAAACTTATTTTCTCTAATATTGCTAATATTTTCATAGAATCATAGAATCCTAAGGGTGTCGTAGTAGATAGACTCTGGCCTTGGAGTTAGGAGGACCTGAGTTCAAATCTGGCCTCAGACACTTGAAACTTACTAGTTACGTGAACCTGGGCAAGTCACTTAGCCCAGATTGCCTCACCAAAAAAAGAATCATAGAATTCTAGAGCTGCAAGTGGATTTTAAGACAGACACATCAATATACCATTGGTGAAGCTGTGAATTAGTCCAGCTATGGCAGAAAGTGATTTTGAATCATGCTAGGAAAGTGATTAAGATATATATCTCCTTTCAAATCCCGTCTGTCATTTACTGCTTGTTGACCCTGGGCAAATTAATTAACTTCTTTGGAGCTCAGTTTCCTCACCTGTAAAATGAGGATGCTAGACTATCAAAAGTGCCCAGAACACACATAGAAAACTGATAGGAGGTGGACCAAAGGCTGGGACCATCCTTAGACACAATGCTTGAGGGCCTACTCACATTTCCTTCTCTTCCCATGAAGAATCTTTCTTCAGTTGCAGCCTCCTGGCCTATACCTAGCACATTCACTTCTCCAAGGAACTATTCATAGAGAAATCTGAAGTATGGCAGAAGGGGACTCTTCCTCCCCTCGCTTGAGCACTGGACCTTTCTCAGTCAGTACCCAGAGGAGGTTTGAGACGAAAAATGAATGTGCATTAATGTAGTTATTAGCCTGGAAAATCATAGAAGGATTCTAAATGTAGTAAGTACCCTGGAAGTCTAACACCGCTTTGGTGTGTGAAAGCCCCGCATGGCATGGTCCACTCAGAGCAGAAAGGGAATTTTATTTGAGGATATTATGGTCAAATTAACTTATGTAAAAAAAAATTTCATGATAGGCTATTCAGCTCCATTTCTTCTACTACGAAGTGCCTGTCCCTTCAGAAAGATTTCGCCATTGAGGATGTTAGATCCAGTTTTATCCTTTATAAGCTATTTTCTTTTTGGTTCACCTTGTTTCCCTAGTTTCAAGGAGCCTATGTATTTTAGAAATTGAAATATGGATATGTAAGACCTAGTAATATGTATAAATGTATTTTATCTGTTGATGTATACATTGCTATTTTTAAAAAATAAACTATGCTGAATACATACATTAATGATTAAGTACACAAGAGTAACCATAGTGATCATATACCATATATGTTAGTGTCTCAACATGGCAATGAAATTCCAGAAGTGACCTTATTTCCCAACAATGTTATTTTAATAAAAATCATTTCTATGATGTCATTTATATATATCTGTAAGGTTTGCAAATCACTTTGTGAATATATCTTATCTGATTCTCCCAACAACCCTTTGAAGTAGATGCTATTATCCCCTATTTTACTGACGAGGAAACTGAGGCAGGCAGAGTTTAAGTGATTTGCCCAGGGTCACATAGCCAGTAAATGTCTGAGGCTGGACTTAAAATCAGGTCTTCCTGCCTCAAGGTCCAGTGCACTATTTACTGAACCACCTAACTGCTACCAGACCTCTAAAAGCTCAAGATGATATATTTATATATAGTATCAATTTTAGTTGAATTGTCTAATCTCATGTAGGTACACACAGATTTATTAGTCAGTTTACTGAAGATTAGATGCTCTATGGTTCTAGTCTGACTGGGGCAAGTGCAAAAGTTCAAGCTTGATTCAGAGCAAAGAATAAAGCCTCTACCTACTGCAACCTTGATTTCCCTCTCTGATGGCATAAATGTCACCTGAGTGATCTCTATACTACAAAGAGATAGGCTGAAGTTCTGATAACTTTGTAGTTAAACCAAAGTAAAAGGACCTGGTCAAAAATGTTTGCTTGAGATCTAAAAATTCTGGAATTATGCCACTAATGGCCACTGTCCCGTGTTTCTTTCAGATACCATTGTTCTCATCGCTTCAATAGCAGTTGTTTCTGCAAAAACTCAGGGTAATATTTTTGCAACATCCGCACTCAGAAGTCTTCGTTTCCTACAGATCCTCCGCATGGTGCGTATGGACCGAAGAGGAGGAACTTGGAAATTATTAGGTTCAGTTGTCTATGCTCACAGCAAGGTAAGTTTGTTTTCTGCATCACGGGTCAAGCTTTGTTCAAACATTTCAATGGATACATGGCATAGTGGAAAAGAAGGTTGGGTGTGGAACCACAAGACCTAGGTTCAAATCCCCCTTCAGATATTTTCTGAGTAACTATGGAAAAGCCACCCTCCCAGAGCCTCAGTTTTTCCATCTGTAAAATGGGATAATTATATTTATATATAACGACATCCTGAGGATACTGCAAAGAAAGCATTTTGCAATCCTTAAAGCACAATGTAAATGTGAAATGTCAATTACTTGTTTTTACAATACTTAATTAAATGTAACAAATAAACATATCAGTTTGAATTACAAGTCCTGATGTTAGATGTTGATTGATGCTGGTCAGCTACATATTGGCAGATAATTTTTTTCAAAATTTGATCATAGGGGCAGCTAGGTGGCGCAGTGGATAGAGCACTGGCCCTGAAGTCAGCAGGACCTGAGTTCAAATCCAGCCTCAGACCAAACACTTGACACTAGCTGTGTGACCCTGGGCAAATCACTTAACCCCAATTGCCTAAAAAAGGGAGAAAAAAAAGATCAAAATTTGATCATATACCGACACTATGCATTTGACATGGAAGGCAGGTGCCTTTGTTGATGTAATCTATGCAGCTAAAAATTCTATATCTACAGCCAAATATAAGATTCACTGTGACGTAGTAGACAGGATACGTCATATTGGGGTCCAGACCTTGGGGTCTGGAAAACCTAGGTTCAAATCCTCCATTTAACATCTACTACCTGTGTATGTGACTCTGGGCAAATCACAACTTATTATTGCCTCAGGAGAAGACCTAGCACTTATCTACTAAGTCGTAAGTTGATGATGTTCTACATTGGTGGAGGGCGTTCCCATACCAGGAGTTTGTCATAATCATAGATCCCTTCACATGTAACTACATATATATGTATATTTTCTTTTTTTATCTTTCCTATTTAAAATTCTTTCATTCCTTTTATACCCAGGAATTAATCACAGCTTGGTACATAGGATTTTTGGTTCTTATTTTTTCATCTTTCCTTGTCTACCTGGTGGAAAAGGATGCAAATAAACAGTTTTCTACTTATGCAGATGCTCTCTGGTGGGGCACAGTAAGTATCAAAATAATCATTTGTTTAATCATTGGATGAGTGCTATGCAATGTTACTTGTGAATACTTCTATTGAAAGCCATTAACTTCAGAGAAGCAAGTTTAGCATATGTGTATATATATATATATATGTGTATATATGTATATATATACACACACACACATATATACATATATATATACACATATCATGTTCAGGATTAGTAATTGATACATGAGTGGCATGAAAATAAAGCAAACAAAAGTAAAAAAAATAGAGGTTATAATCTATGAAGTCAACCTATAACCTATAAGAGAATAAAAAGTTAATTTAGTCATGTGAGGTCCTAAAATTCATCAGTAATGTGTAAATACTATAATACTTCAGAAAACTGTTATTCCCTTGGTATGAATATACTCTCTACTTGGTCAGACCTAATATTCTCTATTGCATAATAGATAGTCACCAATCAATAAATAAACATTTCTTAAGTGCCTACTATGTGCCAGGCATTATTCCAGACACTGAAGATACAAAGACAATAATAAAACAGTTGCCATCCTCAAAGATATCACATTTTATTGGGGGAGACAACATGTAAATAAATAAATAGAAAAACAGATAGAAAGATAGATGGATGCATGGATGGATAGATGACTGAATGAATACAAAGTATATACAAAAAGTACAACTCATTTTGAGTATTATAAACACTCAAATCAATTACAAAGGATCTATGGAGGAAGATGCTATCTGCCTCCAGAGAAAGAACCATCAGTATAGTATGGTTCTACATATGTATCTGTATGTATACATTGTACACATACATATAAATATTTGCATCCAATGGTCACCATCTCTAAGGTGGGGTGGGAAGGTAGGGAAAAAATATAAAAAATGCATAGCAGAGAATAAAAGAAAATTTAGAAGGAAGCATAGAAAGCAGAGTAGCTTTGAAAACGACGTGCAATATTTATTATATACTTTCTCAACAAAGTAAACAGTGTGAAATGTAAATTCATGGTTTTGTGTTGTACTGTATACATGGAAATGTTCTTTTTTGTCTTTATGTATTGAAGTTCAAAATGAATTTTTAAAAATACAAAGTAAATCTGGAGAGAGAGCACTAGAAGCTGAGAAGATAAGAAATGGCTTTAGAATGTGTCATGTAAGCAGCATTTTGAAGGAAACAAGAAATTCTCAGGGGAATTGAAATGGGAATGAATTTCAGGCATGAAGAACAGCCAGTGCAAAGATGCAGAAATGGGAGCTGGTGGGTCATGTGTGAAGAACAGAAAGAGAGACAGTCTGTCTCAAGTCTCAATTTTTTTGGCCAAAATAATTCATAAAGCACTTGCCACTGTCAACCACCCTTTCCTTCTGTATTCTCTCTCCTCTTTTTTTGTGACACTTTCCTTTTGGTTCTTCCATAGAGTAGTCAAAGCAATTTTCATAAATTGTGGGTGTGATCATGTCACCTTAATTCAAGAATCCCCATGGCTTCCTATACTTTTAAGATCAAAATATAAGCTTCTCTGTTTACCCATCAAAGTCTTTCACAACTTGGCCTGTACCTGCCTTCCCGACCTTATTATGAGGGTCCATGAACTTGGATGGGGGAAAAAATTACATCTTTATCTTCATTGATTTCTAACTAAAATTCAGCATTTCCTTCAGTTATTTAAAAATATGATTCTGAAAGGGGGTTCATAGGCTTGACCAGATGGCCAAAAGAGTCCATAACATAAAGAAAAGTTTGAGAAACCCTACAAAAAAAAACATAACACAGTCTTGAAATGAACCCACAGAAGGAGGGCATAGTATGAAAGATGAACCCATAAAGGAGACTGGGAAGAAGTGTTCATACAGGCAAGAGGAAAGCAGGGTCACAAGACCCCAAAGAGGAAAGAAAATCCTGAGGGAATGAATAGTGAATAGTGTTGCTTCCAGATTTATTATAACCAAGAAAAGTCATCATCCTGTGAACAAGCTGATTGTGAGCCAGTTGCCATGCAATCTATCCCCAGGCTCATTCTCAGAGCCCTCTAGCTTAGCAAGACCTGGTAGATTTTGGCTCTGCTCACTTAGTCTTCAAGAATGATAAGGCATTCCAGAGAAGGAACTGATAGCATCTGAAAACAGACCAAAACATACTATTTTTCACTTTCTTTATTTCTTCCTTTCTTTTTTAATTCTTTATTCCCTTCTTTCTTTGTTTTATTTGACTTTTTTCCACAAAATGACTAATATGGAAATGTTTCACATGATTATATGTGTATAACCTAAAAAAAAGATAAAGCATCAGAGGATTTAGTGAAGGAATTTATTCCTAATGAAATGTGTTAGAAAACTGCTCAAGCTAGGTCTGTAAATCCTGATTTTTTTTTTCTTGCATTCCCTAATAAACTCACAGACTAGGGATATCTTTTTTCCTTTCATTTTTTGCAATGCCAAACTATATTTCTTTGGGCATTACCTTTGTTTAAGAAGGTCAAATAGGAATCATTTTGTGAAAATGTAAAGGATTTTCCATCATCCAAAGCTTCTACAAACTTCTTTGATTCCACAACAAATCCATTACCACACAGCAAACATTTATTCCACAAAGGTGAATTCTCTGGAAAAAATCATTGGTAACTTTTATTGTACCTTAGATTATAGACAAAACAAAAAGAAAAAAGAAAATGAAAAGAAATTGACGTTTCAATACTAGCAGAAGTTTTTCTGCTGGTTGGATCAAAAGACTAAGAGATCTGTTATTCATACACTCGAGTGGATCTGCAGTCTCATCAACTGAAAGTTCCACACAACTATCAGTGTGTCAAAATCAGTTATACTTCACTCAAGCCCCTGGTTGTAAAACAACAATACTTGAATTCTTCATGGATGGATTCATAATCTCATTAGTGTCAGTACTCCCACCCTCTATGCAGATTGAAAGCCCTCAATACCTTTTCATCTCAAGAGATTATTGCCCACATCTTTCTGTCAGTCTTCCATAAAGGATTCCCCCCAATGCCACGGATGGTGTTGTCTGGTCTTTTTTCTATTACATGAAAGGTACAGCATCAGATAGTCTGTTAGATCTCATCTTCATCTCCTGTACGACCCACCCCATTTTCATATATATCATGTTTCTTACTTTTTCCATGACTCTTTCTACATGTCAGTATTATTAACACGTTGCCACCTACTTACATTGATCACACATATTCCTTTGTTCGTTATGTCAACAAAGTCTTTGGCATCGTCAGGTGGTCCCATATCAAAAACTGATATCCTTTCATCAGTAGAAATGACATTAAAGAAGAAACATTATCATGTGCTTTGCTGCTGCACCCTAAGGACCACGTAACCTTTCCATCTGACTCGCAGATGAAATCTTCTGTGTGTGTTGTCTCTCCCATTAGAATGCATGTTCTTTAAAAGCAGGGACTGTCTTACTTTTCCATTTTTATTCCTAGATGGTCCTTGAGGGCATGATCATGATCAGAATTTTACTTGAAGTAGTTTAGAAATGTTCTGGGCCTTGATGTAATTAGTATCTTGGCATCTGTGAATTGGAAAATTTAGAAAAGCTCACCATCTATAAGAAATCTTTCTTCCCATCAGTAGGGAAGCCTTTTATTCAGATTCCATGCAAGACTGAAAATGACTTAAGTGAGCATATGTGTCCCTGTTTTATGCCTTGCTTAATATTGACTCAGTGTGGACTACAAAACGAAATTTTTCTATGGTCTCATCTGCTACAGAATCTTACATGATTTAATATATGAATAGTAGATACATTCTTTGAAGAGAGAATTCAAGACACATTTTGTTGGACTGAATCAGATTTTTTTCAAATCAATAAATAGTAGAGCAGGATCTTATGTTTTCTTCATTTTAGTCAGTTATATCTTTAGGAAGATATGGTCTGCTATAGAAAACCATGTACAAAAATATCTAGTCCCTTCTCATCCTTCCATCATAAATGCCCTTGACACATGCACAGACTATTTTCTTAAGTGTGTTATACAGATGAATAAGCATGCATACAGTTTGGCAGCTGCTGGCACCTTTTTGGTCACCTTTTTGGATTTCTGTCTTGCTTTATTAAAATCTAATCTGTTATCTTCTCCATTATTTTTAAATTTTTACTCATTAAGATATCTTGAAAATCAATCCTAAGTACCGTTAAAATTGTTTAATCTCCAATACAGATTTCTTTTGTTTGAATATAGTCAGGTCTAGCAACACTTACAGACTTAATCTTCTTAAACATTGTTGTGCTTGTCATTGGGTATTGAGTTGGTAGAGTCCATTTAGTAATGTTGATGAGAAGACAGTATTACAAAAATACCAGCAAGTCTGTTTCTTTTAATGTCTGTTTTAGTTTGTTTGGTTTTTTTCCCCCTCATCTTCCAGTAATATCTGTAAGTATTCTCAGGATGATGTAGCTTAACTGGGTCTCAGTTACTAGTGACTTTACCTTTGTATTTATTTTCTATATTTTGCATTTAAATATTGTGTGCTTATTTTATATATTTCTCTTTTTTAATGAAAAAGAATTTGTTAAGCACTGTGATAGGCACTGGGATTACAATAAGAAAAGCAAGATGGTGCCTCCTCTCCTGGAGCTCACATTCTTTTAGGGGAAGACAACACAACACAACACAACACAGTACACATTTATTAACTGCCTACTATCTGCCAAGCACTGTGCTATGTGCTGGGGATTATTTTATATATTTCTAATATAAACTTATAAATGTATATGTTGTTTCCCCTGATTGAAAAATAAATCCTTAAAGACAGGAATTGCTTTATTTTTGTCGTTATATGCCCAGAACCTAGCACAGAGCTTTCTATATGGTAGGTGCTTAATAAATGCTTATTGCTCTACTGATTTATTAAGAATAGGTTCTTTTTTTCCCCTCAAGTGCTTTTTAATATTTTGTGAAGCAACACTATTTGAATTCTTCCACCATATTCCTCCATAATGTTTTGCAAATGAATTTGTACCTGAAACTAGTGGTGCC